ATATTGAGTAAAACAGTAAGAAGTAAATTTATACATTTGTACTATATAATATACTACGTGTACATATGTTTATTATCAATTGCATATAAAATTAATAACTATATAATAAAGTTTCCAATTAGAAACTTAGATACTAGATACGTAGCATAGCGTTCTTATAAAGTAAATATAAAGATTGTTATAAAGTGTTTTCTTAAGATCTTAAAACTTAAGATCAAAATACTGTTCTAATAGATAGTAGATAAAAAACAAATGATAAGAGACGAAGTAAATAGATTGGAAATATCTTCAATATAGTTACATTTTTAAATATAATATAAAAATAGTGTCTCTATTTGTAGAATAGAGAAGTGGAAGAAGAAGTATAAGTTAAGTTGCAAGTATATAATTAAAACAAAACAAGTTAACTCTTCAATTTGGCATAAATATATTATATTGAAGATATTGTCTTCAAATTTGAAAAAAAAAATATTTCTTAAAATCTTAGAACTGTCGGCAGTGACAATCCGTATCTTGTGAAACGATCTTATTAAGCTTATAAGAAGTAGATCATTGCGCTATGACAAACTATTTTATACCACAAAAAATAACTTTTAAGAACTTTAATCAAATAACAGTTTTGTTCTGGACTAATCTTTACACATACACAACAATTGTATCTTAAAAAGTCAGAAAGGCTTACTTTTTTGCAAAAAAAAAAAACTTATCTTAATAAGTTACATCAATAGATATTATTTTATGAATCTGCACCCCTTAAGAATAGATATCATATAAGATAAGGAACTGTCAATATCTTTTACTCCGTTGCTGTCTTGCACACCGAAAAAAAGATGTGCTGCATTGGGTTATTGAAAAAAGGAATGTTTTTTGTTATATATCTTATAGATAAATCTTTATATATATCTATAGATATCTTATATATATCTTATATATTTTTTAACAGTTACTTGTTAAATTTAAGAAAATCATACAACGAAGTATTATACTTCTATAGCAGCTTTCTGTGGCATATATTTGTATACTTCTAAAGCAGAATAAAACGCACACATGTTATATATACTATGCAGAATTTACGTATCTCTTACTTTTTTTCTTCCTGTATAAATTTTCTTATGTCAACACTTTTGCATTCAATTTATACTTGCTGCGATTAATGAATATTGACGCTACACTTCTATTAAGAGTCTTACTGGTATCAATTTGTCGATTGTCCAATAAAAGATACCAACTATATATGTGCCTTTCTATTTATAGATTTTACTTACTTCCTGATTTGTCAGTTACAGACATATATCGTTCTCGGCTGCATTCAGTAGCCTCGCCAGCTATCTTGATCAGCAGTTAGTATAGACTGGCAAACATCTTCAACAACATTATCCTAGTTAACTTACTTGTGTTCTTTATAGATGATATGTTTTTGGAGGCCAGTTGTGTCTAGTTACCATCGCCATCAACGGTGGTTGGTACCAACTGGCAAAAATCTTCGACAGAGTTTTGTTAACTAGTTATCTAACTTACATATGTATGTGCTTAGTTGGTATTTAGTGACGTATTTCTGTATTGGTCGTATACAATATCCTTGCGAGCCATTTCAATCAACCGGCATTACCCACAGTTGAATATTTTTTTATCAACCTTTTTAGCAGCATGAACTGAATCAAACACTTTTTTTAGCCACAGCATATTAATTTTTTGCACAATATGAGTAAATTAGTAAATTTGTTGAAGTTTGATATGCTGAACTACAACAATATGACTTCATAGCTTATACAGCTCATTGTTCTATATAAATAAGTACTCTTTACCACTTATTATGGGACCATAAATCTTTTAAAAAATTTTCTTCACGAATACTCATTAATTTTGTTTATTGTCAATTCTCGAAACACCTATTATTAACTCACTGGTAAGAAAACAGTTCTTTTTAGTTGTATTAAACATTTATGGTAAGATCATAGGGTGATGTTTCGTTAGGTTGTGAAGGGAAAGTTGCTCACTATATACTTTAATTTAACAAAAACCCTATGGATTCTATAATATCTGCTTGACAAATTATTCGTCAGATTAGTTACCAAGCCGAACAATATATGTTAATAAAAAATTCTATTCACAGTTCCAAAAAATTAATTTTTTTTTAAATTTCAAAATTAATTTTCCGATTTAAAAATATTTTTTGTCATTTAAAACTACAGCTAATGCTTTCTGATATGCAACATTTTTACTTTCCGAATGTGTAATTTTATATACCATGTAAAAATTTTTCCAAAAGATAGCTTTTAGTCCCTTTAATATGTATAATATCTCATAAATATTATTTTTAATGCCAATGAGAAATATAAATAGAGAATATTTTTATTAATTCATTTTCTATTCCCAAAATATGAAGTCATTTCTGTCTGAACTCTGTTAATTAAATTACTAATTAAAATAAGATATTAGTCGGCCGTTTCTCATGACCAACTAAAAGAAAGCCTAACAGACTGCAATCGGCTTTGTTATTATACTGATTTTAATGAATCATTTAGCATAAAGATTAAGTTAACAAAAATTAAAAATTTAAATGCGTATGCCACATAAAAAACATAAGTTTACTAACAAAAAGTTTCCGGTATGAATAATTAAAAAAAAATTATGAAACTGGCATGTGAACGAAGAAGACATTCTATCTTCAGTCTTTTGTTTTATAAACGGTATAGATGAAAATATTGCTAAAAAAGTAGCTGCTTTATATTGTTTTATAATATTTAATAATACTGACTTGATTATTTTATATGGAGTATTTAATATCAAATAAAATTATCGCAAAGTTTTACAATATTTTTACCTTCGTTATTAGCAAATTGCCTTGGGCATTAACATATTTCCAATGAACTGCTCTAAGTATGAACACAAATTATAAGCAAAACTAGTTGTCAAAAATTAGAAACAAAACTTTAATAAGTAGTTTGGATTGTATGTAGGCAATTATTGGTAGTGAATTTAAGTACACTTAGCCAAGCACAACAATCAAGTAAGCAAAGCATTTAATATTGACAATTGCGAAAATAACAACTTGGAAAGATAAAAAATCAGACTATGCGTTTGAGCTCAAGTCAGGTTAGTTAAGCCAAGTGCGTTGTTATTTCCACAAACTGTTGTAGCCCACCAATGTATCTTACTATATTACAGCACAGATAGTCAGCACTCATTGGATTTTTGATACAAACATATAGATATGTAAACTGTTTGTGCATATTCAGGGTCTGATGGGTTTATCTCTATTTTGTTGTGTATTACAAATAAATAAATGCTACCTTTCACCTGTAATTTAAGCCGAAATTAAATCTCTTTGAAAATATAATATAATAGTAAATGTAATAAAAATAAAATGAAAGTAAAATTTATACCCAGAAGCTCAGGAGAAAGGTATTATTGTTAACCCATATAAAAGTCATAAATTGTAATTAAAAGAATTTGTAGTAATTGTTATTTTGTTATTATTTTTTTTATATATATACGTTATATAGTATAATCGCTTCAATTATACTTCTAACATTTAATTTAAAAGTGATTAAAATAAAGAAGTATTATTATCTCCTCCAATGATTAGCAACAACTCATGATTGTTCAGTAATGTAATTTTTGATACAATAAATGTTAATAATTTGAATAAATCGTTTTTTATAATACACATTAAATTCGGAAAGATATGAGTACATTATGAATAATTAATTAGAAAAATAAAATAAATTATGTCAAACACAATAGCACTTTTTAAATTAAAATTGAATTGAATTAAATCGATAAAATAGGCGTTTTGGAACACATCACCTCTCTCCCCTTTAATTATTTTTTCTTAAATTGAAATTTAAATGAATTCCCATTAGCCATTTACTAATAACCAAGAGGAATAAATGAAACACCAGCTCATGTCTATTTCTTGAAAACAAGAAAAATGAAAAAATATAAAAAAATGAAAATATGCGAAAAAACTTCTATAACACTAATTTATCTATAACTCAAACTAAAAACAGTGCACCAAGGTTTTAGACAGCAAATTACATACTATTCCGCTTCCATAACTCGAACTTCTATAACTTCAATTTCTGTATAACTCGAACAAAAAGTTTTCCCCTTACCGATAGGAATATGTAGAAAGTGCATTCTATAAGTCGAATTTTTGTTTTAAGTAGAACATAAATGCATTTTGCTGTTAGGGAAAGTCCCTTTTTTCAAACCAAAAGTTTAATTTTTTCTTTCTTATGTTGATTCTTTGTGCAAATGCCAGTCGCTGGCAGTGTAGTTTAAAGTAAATAAAATAACTTCCAATGCTATTCTTAACGATTATATTAAGCTTGACAATGAAATTTAGACATCAAGCTTTCTTACAGATGACGATGTTATAGAACACTATAGGTCTAAATTACTGGATCCAATTCTAAGCGTAACGGAAACTGATGAAGAGGGTTCGGTGGATGTTATTGTTTATCAGCCTTCCAAGAATGAAGTAGAAGACTCATTCAAAATTCTGAATTTATATTTGCAAACGAATGATACTACAACTGATGATCACTGTCAGGCATGGAATAAATTGGATTCTCTTTTTACTGAAAATAAGAAGAAAAAAAAATTAAAATCCCAAACCCTAATTTCTGCATATTTTACTTCACTATAACTTCTGTGCTTTATTTGATTGCAAATAAATAAATAACTAAAATGTAATTCTAGTTTCTTGAAATCTCCATAACGCCAAATCGGCCAAATCAGGTTGCTATATAGTTATACCTATATAATTATCCTAAATAATTGTGCAAATACTGCATTTAGAGTTATATAAAAAAGAAACATAAAATTTGAAACATAAAATATATATATGAACATTAAATTTAATAATAATTCTTTTATGTTGCCACAATTAATTTGTCAATAATAAAAATTTGAATGAAATTTCATGTAAGCTTTGTTTAGACTTTAAACATACTTTCAAAATATAAAATATTAAATAAAATATACATAAAGATCTTTGGTACAGGGATTTCGAAAAGTAGTAAACTACAACAACAAAAATTATTTTTATTATATTTTTATTAATTGAATTTGGGTGACTTTTCAGCTGCTTCAAGTATTGCCAAATACCCATCACCAGTTGAGTATAGATTCAACTATAATAAAAAATTTTTTTAAGTGCAAAGATAATGTTTTATTTATTTAAATAAAATTACATTAAAACAAAAACGAGTTAATGGATTTATTTCATATTGTAGAATGGCTGTAAAAATGAAGCTGCAACAATCAAAAAACTTTCCTCTAAATAAATTTTTTTTATATATCTATTTATATTTTAATTTAAATATAAGATTGATTAATCACAATATACATACAAATGGACAGAAAATTAAAAATTTTCACAAGCAAATGTAGATTAGAAATGTTAATATTGATTATAAAAACTGTTTACAACATAAACACGCATATTTAATTTCACTAGAAAATTCAAAAAAAAAATTAAAAATATTAATTTTCATTTCATCTACAAATCAACTTTCTTCAATCAGGTAATCGTATCTTAATGCGTCTCACCGAAGCATATGCACAGCCACCACCCAAGCTGGAACAAATGCCAGCAACAAATAGTAATCACAATAATAGTGAAACAATAGTGAAATCACCTGCATTGGCCTTAACACTGACCGCTGCATCTTCTTCTTCGCCAACGAGTACCGGCAGCAGCAATGGCACTGGCACTACAATACCCCAGAAACAAGCCTTACCGCCAGATCTGAACTGTGAACGCACACGCATCGAACTACGAATCAATGAAATTGAAAAGAAACAAACTGAGATACGTACAGCGTGGCTGGAACTTTTGCAGTGCATACGAGAAGCACGTGAGTTGGCTGCATTAGAGGAGGGTGTGTCATTTGTTACAAATTGGATACTTAATACGGCAGAACAAATGCTAAATCGACAGCAAACGATTGGTTGTGATGTACGTGCCTGCGAAGCATTACGTTCTGCACATGATGCACTTGAATTGGAATGTCGTGAAACCTATGGTTTCTATGCGGAGTTACTTTATAAGATTAATATATATGGAGGCTCAAAAGATAATTTCACCTACAAAGATCTAATGTCACAGAAGGACTTTATGAATTTTGTTTGTCGTTCCTTTGCAACGCGTTTGGAGCGCAGACGTAATGTACTGATCACGTCATTGCGGTTTTTTCGTCTCGTTACCGATTACTTTGATCGTACAACTGTGGTTTTTGAATCGCTAGTTATGAGCAGTAAGACAGAAGACTTCGATACAGCTGCTGGGAACCTACAAAAACTCAAGGACAGTCAATTTAGTTTGGGTAAGTTCAAATCGTTGTAAATTAATAAAATTTATGTGGTTTTGTGGTCTTTCTCGATTATATAGTATTTTATGTAATAAAAATATACAAAGAATGCCAAATAATTGTATAAGTTTTTTCATGAATTTATGGGTAAATAATGTAGAACGCTATGAACGGAAATATGCTTACTTAAAGAGTATGTTTCTCTATGTATTTCCCTTCAAATAAAGAATTCGTACGGGATGATATTTTAGTTAAAGGTAAAGATGATTAGTCTTCTTTAAGAAATTTGCTTGCCATAAATAAATTCCTAAGTAATCGATTCTTTTCTTTTCTGCCAAAAACGTTTTTTTTTTCTTCAATAATGATATCCGCAAATTATTTAATTAACGTCACGAATTCTTATAATATCACTGAAATTCTGTATTATTGACTGTATTTCTTTTGTTTTCTTTTTGGATTCCGTATACTTTTACAGTGAATATGGAACGTGAACTCATAAAAGAGGGTGAAAAACTTAGCGATATGCTGGCGATGCCGGTTAAGGATGCGCTTGGCCGTGACCTACACGTTGACTATAGTGACGACATATGCAATATACGCGAAATTTTGGATACGACCATAGCGCGTCGAAATATTTTCAGAGACAGCGTTGAACTACAAAAACTCACCTTGGAACAAGTGACACACATTCACACGTACGAGCAAGACGCGCAAACAGCGATAAAGTGGATGGACGATTTGTACAATGTCATGATCAAGTGCCATTCGCATGTTGGGTGCAATATACATGAGATACAGGTGCAGAAGGATGAATTGCAAACATTTCAAGAAACTGGAAAAGTAAGTTACATGCTACATAAATTTATTTGTTGTTTTCGTATTTGCTATATTGTTGATTAATGTTGTTGTTTTTATTGTTGTTGTTTTTATTGTTGTGGTTGCAGTTTGCAGTTTGCAGTTGTTTGTAATGTTGTTCTACTGGATGCAGGGGAATTTCTCGTTCAGCTTGAATGTGCTTTCTGGTCAGCTGAGCAAAGATATTATTTTTTTTTAGTTGCAGTAAATGTGGTCATGCTTTTTCTGTGCTAGTTGTTGTCCATTAAAGTGAAAAACAGTTTCATTTCCGTCCGTCCATATAATTCTTATGTATTATGTTTTATGAAACGCAAGTGAACGGTAAAATATTTTAGCGGAAAAAGATAATTTGCAGTTTGGTAACTGTTGCAAATGTTGATAGAATTGTCCAAGGTGTATTAATATAAAATTACTTAATTCGAATCAATTTCGAAGCATTTTGATAGCCATAGATTGTAGGATAAATTTAACAGAAATTAGTTATTATTGTAAATTCATCAGAATTGAATTATTGGAGTCACCACTTAGTTAAATTTAAATATTATTAAATGCGAAGTGATTTTTAGACGTTTAACTATTTACAGTTAAGTAGACTATTTAATTAAACTATTGATAACTATTGTATTTAACAGAAATTCTAGAGAAATTATACTTTTAATAGAAATTTAGTAGACTATTTAATATAATTCATCTATTGTATAATTCAACTATTGTATTTAACAGAAATTCTAGAGAAATTATACTTTTAATAGAAATTTAGTAGACTATTTAATATAATTCATATAATTAAACATAATAAAATTTTGTTGTTACAATTTAGTACTGTTCGAAAAACCTGCTTTTTAAATATTTTTACAATTTTTAAATAAAAGATCTTCTTTGAATGGTTTTCTATATGAAAAATTGGTATGGGAATGAATGGATATTGTATTATAATTTAATATTATCACAAAAAAATATCAAAAAATTCAAGCATTTTGAAAATATTATAAGAACTTACTTCTAGAAACTAATTAATTTTTTTAAACAATTGGCATAAATTAAAAATCAACAAAGAAATATAATTTTTTATACATAAATAAACATACAAATATATTAGTTACGGTGAATACTTAAAAATTTCTTTAATTTAATGATAAAAAAAATTATTTTAATTAAAATATAAAAAATATAAAATATAAAAATATAAAATTTTTTGTAAAGCTATTAGGACATATGTCATGACCTCTTACATGCCAATCTCCTTAAATCTTCAAAATAATTTCAGTGACTTCTTTTGTCATTATCCACAAATCTTTTTATAGATTGCTCTAACCAACAGTGACCGAAAATAACAGCTATTTCAAAATTTTTTATGAAAAAAGGCAGCACCAAAAAGTTGTTGAAACTCATATTTAAGTATATAGTTATCATTCTAACAACTTTTATTCTTCGTATTATACATGCTTTTTATATATTAGCATTTTAAAATAAAACTCAACAAATAATAATTAAATTTGCTTTATATTATATTCCTCAAAAATAATTATTTTATGTGCCTTTTATTTTTTTCGCGCATGAATAACTCTTACACTCTGCTTTTTTTTTTTTAAACGCACAAATAATTGCTACTTTTGTGTAATAAATATAAAAATCACGAATAACTGACAATTTCTGCCGAATAAATATAAAATGCAATTTTCACACAAGGTAGTTGTTTTTGTAATTTTATACGTCTCAAGACGGTATATAAAAATCTATCTAATGTTTATTTGGTTATATTTCAATATATATTTGATATTTTAATATATTTGTTATGTCAGGAGCTACATGAAACGTCATATTTCATTATAGCTTTTAACTTGTTACAATATTCTGCTCATATTTATATTTATAACTGTGTGAATTGAAAATTCCCTACATTTAAAACAAAGTAATTATTATATTAGTTTATGCAACAGATAGTTGTTATATATGTTTAAAGATATAATTTACTTTATTACATTATAATAAAAAACAATAAACTTATTTCTCTAATATTATTTATTATGATAATGATCATTTACCTAATGTTTAGTTATGATAAGCCTAATTTATTATGTACTTGAATATTTTTACAACATCCAATGAACATTTTCAAAAACTATCCATGATTTAAATTAAATATTAAATAATATTTATGATTAAAGGAACCAACGTGTTTTGTGCCAAATAAAAATAAAATTGAACTAGTAACTCATAAATGAGTGAGGTTAACATTTAGTTCAAAAACAGTATTTGGGTTCTTTAAGTCCCAACTCTTTGACGTAATCTTATAAATGAAAATTATTATCTTCAAACACATTCTGTCATTTTTTAATAAATCTATTGTCATTTACTGTAAAATTCCTAATTTTCAGCTTATATTCAGAGTCCTCTTTTACAAACAACTCTAATCTAGCAAGAGAGTGTTTCAGAGATTGGACACATAATAAGTTGATGACCAAAATTATATAGTATGTGCATACAAAGTCAATATTCAAGTCCAAGTCAATATCTTTCAATTCTTGTCTGAATTGGATGCTGTACGCAGTCCAGTGTTGCTTTAATAAAACATCGCACATTTTCTCAAGATCAATCCAGAAAAATCAATGTTTTTTATAATTTTATGCCTCAAAGGCAATCATTTCTTAGAGTAGAGATACTAACTATTCATTTAGTTAAATGAAGGTACTTATAATAAATAATAGTCTTACCGTTATACAATAGCATCATCTTCCTTAGCGTTCCTCCATATTTTGTCATTATATGTGGTATATGGAATATTAATAAAGATGAACAGTGAAATGATAATGAAATACATTATAAAGCCGGTTTTAGTTATATTTCCAGTATGGAATCTGTTATTGAGTAGTAGTCTTTCTTAAAAAAATTGACTATATTTCCCTTTCTACCATGCCATTTTTAGTATATAGTATATACTAGTTTATAATATATATTACTGTATGTGATGCACTTTTCAGTTACTAGTTCATTTGCTGTAGCAACATCATAAATAAAAAATCGTTCCATTAAATTGTTATCATGAATTTATATATCATTCATATCTTCATCCTCTAGCTGGCGTAGTACGAATACTTTTTTCTACAAGTTGCTTTACCCGTTGAGAAGCGCATTGTTGTATTTTATCACCTGTAATTACAAAGAGAAAAGAAAATGTATATATATTTATTGTTTTCATCCAAAATAAATTAAACAGATCGAATACTTAAAAGAGTCATGAGATATATTTTAGTTAATATAAAACAAATAAAGTATCAAGTGTAAAATTACAGAATACGATTATTAAGTAAGTAACTGACTCTTATTTTGAAAACTTTTCCACATAACCTACAGACATTTAAGAAGTCATTTAAATTAGTGAACCCTTTCCCATAAAATAAATTATGCAATCTAGACACGTGCCACAATTTTCATATAAAATAGAAACCAACAAATAAAGAAAATAATAAACAATAAAAATAAAGTGGCATCAAAGCATTGTACCGCTTGTTTAACATAACCATTAAGTGAACCTAATTGTTATCATTGCAGAGTATCTTCAACTATGGCTGTCAGCTATTGGAGGCCTCCCAAGCACTACGACTTTCATGCAAACTCGACACCGCGGTAGCACAGAATATGTTGCAACAACTACAACGCACCTGGCATAGTCTACAGGCCATAAGTCAGGAGCACATGACACGTCTACGTGTGTCCGCAGTCTTTCATCGCAGTGTTGAGGAATACTGTCAACAATTGCACGACCTTAAATTGTCGGTATGCAGTTTGCGTCAACAGAATAGCAGCAGCAGCAGCGGTATTAGCAGCGAAGTTGATTCCCAACCTTCACCGGTTGTTGCTACAGTGGCGGCAATGGAAAAATCACAAACCCAGTTGGAGCAACGCAATCAGCTGCAAAAGTTTCTCGTTGAACGCGAACAACTTTTAGTGGAAGTAGGTCGCATGGTGCGATTGGGCAGGTTGTTGAAGACACGTTTGAAAGAACCATTCGTCTTAGATGCTGTTACAGGCAAGAGGTTTGTTGTGGTATTTTTTTTTTTTTTGGTTTTTGTTTTTTGTTTTTTACAACTTATATTGTTTTTATTTTTGTTTTTATTTTAAAAATAATAATCGCTAAATAATATTTTACTTTTGATATTCAGTGACTTGAAAGTTTGGTGTCTAAAAATAATTTTTATTTTTTTTTTTTTTATTTTAAAAGTTGATTTCTATGAAATCTGGCGATATTAAAAAAATATTTAGAAACTGCTTGAGTTTAGATAGTAGTTATTAAATACAAATGGCAGTGAGAGGAAGTTTTATTTAATTAAAATTAAATTAATAGCTTAGTTCAGATTGAAAAGTAACAATCTTTTCAATCTTTTTGTCATAACAAAGTTGTGACAAGTTGATTAAATAGCAAATATATTTCTCTTAATTAAATTTCAGCAAATTAATATGAAAGTAATGAAACAAAGAAAGGAATGTATTCTTTAAATTTCCTGAAAATAATTAAAATATTATTTAAAGAAAATTTCAGACAATTGATGAACCACATAATGAACATTTATAAATTTAGAGAACTTGACTAAAAGCAAAGAACTCAGTTTGAATTCAAGGAGTCGTTAACTCATTTCTAGCAGTTTTATCAAATAATTTATAGTCATTAATTTTAATTCAAAATAATTTCTTTATTAAAAAATAATCCTTATATTTAAATATTTTACACGTAGTGGTTGATAAAGTATGTCAAAATTTTGTAATTAGATATAACAAATAAACAAATCTCATAACAATATATTTTCTTGACCTTTATTATAAAAAGCATTAAATTTCCGTGTACCGGCTTGTAGGCCTCTATGTATAGTTTGACATTAAGACTTTTAAAATTTTAAGTTTTTTTTCGATTCAATGTTTCTTTGATCCAATATATATCTCAAGATATATTGAGATGAATACTCTTCGTGCCACCCATACAATTCTTTTTCATTTTTGGAACCAAAAAATTGCAATCTCCATTTTATTTGACTTTAAAACGAAAGAGTTTATATATAGTAGGTCCATATATCTAGACACAATTTAGCAGCAATTTAGGAGACAATTTTCATTTAGCAGCGTAAAATAAAATATTTTTTCTAAAAGTCAATTTAAAGATAATTAAAATTGATGATCATCTGCATGAAAGATACATTTCTGATAATAATTAAAATAGTTGTCATTTATTTTTAAAAAAATTTGTTATATACAATATTAAAATACTTCAAACGTTAAAGCAATGAACATTAAAGCAACTATTAAAACATTGAAATTTTGAGTTATTTTAAAAACAAACATTAGATGGTTTACTGTATGTAGCGCAGTGTGATCAGTTTCTAATTATGTTAATTCATTTTACCTCACCATAAAAACAGTTTATGTTTATATATTTACTCGCACTTACAATATTGCAATGAAGGATAAAATAAAATAGTAAAAAATATATAATTCACAATTAATTTATAACATAAATATCAGTGTAAAAGGTATTAAAATTCTGGCAGACTCAAAATCAACTTTCTATTTTGTAATTATTTTAAAATTTAGATACCTATAACATTTTTATTTGAAGTTGTTTTTCATTTGAGTATATTATGTATTTGCAGACCTAAATAACTAATCTCATTGAAAAGTTGAACCATTAATTTAATTGCATATAAATGTGAATTTAAAAAATTAAAGAAATATAGGCCACAGAGATAAGCTTTATTAATACACATAAAAGAAAATATAAAGAAGCATCTAAAATTTTCTTTATAAAATTATGAAATTATGAACCCATATACTCTGTTTCTCACATGATCATTTTTCTTAATTAGCAACGCTTTTAGTGTATACTAAACTTTAAAATTCTGATTAAGTTTCCATTTCTGATATTTTACACGTAGATTGTTATAAACTTAGAATAAGTGAAGTATCTTTCAGATCTTTCAGCTTACCACACTCAAAAATCTTGCGAAAGATGGTTTGAAAGACCTTTCATATTTCGGCAGCGTTCTTTTACCATACTGTAAGCTCTTTTTGGTTTTTCTAAAGACCAAAGAAAAAATTTGCTGTTGATCATGCCTTTCGATTGTCAGTTAAAATTTTGTTTGTGTTTTTCGTATATGAACTTTTTTTATATAAAATAATATACAAAAAAATAGAAACAAAAATTAATAATTAATTATTTAATTAGAATTGTTTAAATGGAATAAATATTTTAAACTTTATTATCAATACGACACAAACGTAATTGATAAATGTATTAATATACTATAATGTTTTCAAAAAAAATTTTGAATATATATTCAGTTGGTTAGGTCAGTTGATTAAGGTACGCTGGCTCTGAGCTTCAAATTTGGCAGGATACGAGTTCAATTCCTTATTCAGAAATAATAATTTACGAATAATTAAACACAAGAATTATTTCCAAGACCACTGATGATGAGTATATGGCAGAACTCGTAACAGCTGTATGGTCAGCCAAAAATTCAATTAATTAAAATAATATAAAAATGAATTTTTGTTGTTGTAGCTCACTACTGTTCGAAAAACGTCTATATTTTATATATTTATATATAATATATATGTTTTTCATATATTTAAATTTTAATATTTATTAATATTTATTTTACATTGATTTTTGCGTCTACTTATTAATATATATTTAAGTTATAATTTTAAAATTAATTAATTTTTTAATTAATTAATTAAACACAGCCACTGCTGTGTTAATGCAGCAGTAGCTACTATCATTTCTACCATGACATAAATAACGTAAATAAATAATTATGACGTAAATAATTATTTATTTATAAATAATAATGCCATGTGCGAGTTTGAGTAAATTGAGGTAAAGTAAATTAAAATTTTCTAGGGATTTTTTGCACTGCACTTATGTAAATATTTATTTATTTATTGTATTTATTTATTATTTTTGATTTAAAGTTTTCAAATTTATTTATTAAACGTCTTATAAAATTTTCACAATAGTAACATTAGTGTTAGTTAATCTTGATCTAATTTATCCTACTCGAAATTCTGGTAAATACCAACATTCGCTGTCATACCCACATAATTTACTAATTCTCTCAATTTACCATCAATTTACTCAAACTCGCACACGGCCTAATAATGGAATATACATCTTGTGGGTTTCCATTAAATTTGTATTAATATTCAATTGTTTATTTGCAAGCGGTAGAGTTTAACAACTATGTTTGATTTCGTCACGAAGGAAATAGAATAAAACAGCTCTCTACCACGAATTACAAATGATAAAACTTTTTTTTGAAAGACTTTTGTGCCAGAATAAGAAAAATATTTCAAATTTTCTTTTGGTTGATCTTACAAAGATCTTGCAAAAGATTTTTAACGATTTTTGCCAGAATTGTCCCGAAAAAATACTACTCATACGTTATCATATAAGCGAAGAGATAGGCTATTATTGGTGTAAGATAGTTAATTAAATAACTGCAAAATATTCTTAAATTTTATCACATTTTAACAATAAATTTTTCCCCATTCAACTGTCTTATCTAACGTGCGTATTCTTCCAAAACTACTTGTATGTTATGTCCTTTGCATTTTGTCTAGAATCACAGGCAACTTATTTTCCATAATTTGTAAGTTAAACTGCGCTTCTATCACTTTTTATCATGTCCAGGCCAACGCGTTTGCTGGCGCAAAGTGGCTGACGTTATGTTTATCTACAAAATACAGCACTACTACTTAAGTGCTTTTCATAATTTTATCGCATGTTTATTTGAGATTTCGCATACTTTATTTGCTATTAACCATTTCGCGTCATCGGGCGTTTATTTGCCGCTTTACAATCTTGCATTTTCCGATGGCGTTGGCAGACAATAAAAGCAAATTAATTGTGTGCTTTGCATGTTTCTGCCTCGGAACGGTTCTGCATATGCAAATGCACTCCGCCTCAACAGTGGGTTTGAGTTCGTGACTATGTATGCACTTTTCATACTAACTGTTTTTTTTTCTTCTTCTTCTTCTTCTAAATATATAATTTGTAAATGCGATTTTAATTAGCATTAATTTGCGTTTATTTAACTTTAATAGAAATGCTGCAAATAGCAACTGTCACTTCAGATTTTTTTA